GGCCCGGCGGGCCCCTGCGGCGGGCCGCCGGGGAAGGCAGCTCCCGCAAGGAGGGCGGCGGGGCGCGGTACAGCCTCAGCTCGAACACCTGCCCGGGACCGGGGGCCCGGTACGAGTTGTGGCCGAACTGGAGCTGGAGCTGCGCCATCGTGAGCTGTTCCCCATCCTCCAGCACGGAGAGGGTGAAGTACAGATGCTTCTCCAGGCACAGCAGGGTCCGCGGCCCCCCACTGTGAAGGAAGTGGCCTGAGGGGGAAGGAGGACAGGAGAGGGGCATTGGACTGTCTGCCCAGAGCTGCGGCCACCTGGCAGACAGGCGGGCGGGCGCGGTTCACGGCACACGCTGAAGCGATGCTAGCAGGAGACGCGGCGGCGGTGGCAGGGGCAAAACCCCGAGGAGCCCGGGCACGCAACACCTGGTGCTAGCACCGTGCCCGCCCCCATGCTCCCGAGCAAGCACATGCTACCACTGCAGCAACAGGAGCCGTGCCTGGGTGCAGGGCAGCGCCCAGTGCCCCCAGCTGCAGAGCACCTGCTCCGTCTCAGAACCGGCCCTGGGCACCCTGCCCCGGCACTGGGCCAGGCCTGCTCTGGGGAGGAGGCCCAGGCTGCTGCACCTGCAAAGTGTTTGCAGACGGAGCAGCTACGCGCTGGGCACTAATGAACTGCAACTCCGCAGTGCTCGAGACGGATGGGACGTGGGACTCAGGCCTTTGCCTACGGAAGCAGCTTTGCTCCAACTGTCCACGTGGCAGCGCAGACCCTGCCCCTCGCTGCCCCCTCCGTGTACTCTACTTGCAATGTTGGCACCAGCCGCAGGAGAAGGTCTCCTGTGACCTCCCAGGACTCCAGGAGCAGCGGGCATGGCTCAGGTTACAGCAGCAAGCCCCTCTCAGGGCAAACTCGGAGCACCTGGAGAGGGCAGGTCTCACTGCAGAGCCAGGGAAGCTGGAGCAGAGCAGGGACTGGCCTGCCTGGGGGCTCCAGAGCACGAACAGATCATACGGGTCTCAACTCCCAGTCCAAACGCACTGCCTCTCTGGACCAGTGACCAGGACCTAGACTACAGATGGTGCCTAAGCTGAAACGGATGCCCAGACACCTAGCTCCCAGGGACTGGGCCTTAAGGGCAGTCACCAAAAACCCCAGAACGTGGGAGTCTCTGTACCTTGGTCGCTGAAGACGCGTACGATGTTCCCGGGGACGTTGAACTCCTCCACCCGGCAGGCATCCTCCTGGCCTGGGCTCCAAGGGGAAGGGATTTCTCTCTTCTGGAAGATCCGCCAGAGCACGGAGGGCACAGGAGCGGGCGACCTGGGGCTGGGCTTGGCGCTCAGGCCCAGGGATTTCAAAAGCAAACTTTCTCGTGTGCTTAAATCCATCCCTAGGGTCCCGCTGATCAGAGCCCAGAAGAGGCCAGCTGCAAAAACAGCTCTCCAAGAGACCAGCCTCATCTTCCAGCAGACAAAGAGCCCAGCAGCTGGAGAGGAGCTCTGCACACCAGGCAGCAGGAGGGGTGGTGTCGGAGTGATTGGAGCCTTTGATCTGTTTAGGGCTCAATTAGCAGAGGGCTCCCAGGATTGGGTGGAGGAGTGCAAGCAAGTACCCACGGCCCTTAACCCTTTGGGTTCGGAGAGCCCCAGGTGGCTTCACCCTGTGCAGCCCCAGGCCTGCAGCGGACTAGGATGGAGCTCAGTCCGGATGCCCCATGTGGACGCAGTGATGCTGGGACAGAGGCACCTGCAGCCCCAACGTCCATTCCTGGAAACGCAGGCATCGCTGGTGGGCTCCAGAGCTGTCCTGCCTCCCCAGGCCCCCTTGCTAGGTCTCTAGCCCAGCGAGTGCACATGGCTCTTGGCTGCTCGCTGGCCTGGAGAGCTGTGTGTGGCTCAGGCCAAGGCTGTGGAGAGGCTGCAGGGCCAGGGACTCTGCACCCCCCACCAGCAAGGCTGTGAGGACGAGTACTGGGGATGCCTGCCGGGCACAACGGGGCAGCACCAGGGCGTGCGGGCTCAGCCACGGGCAGGGACGGACAGAACGGGCTGGAGGGCGCTGGATAGAACCGAGCCTGCAACACTTCCACTCCCACCGATGCTGCCCTGCATCTCCCCAGGGGATCCGTCTAGGGGGGCCTGGCATCCAAGCTGCCCTGGCAGACAGGAGCAAGGCGCTTCCTTCTTGCTCCTAAAGCAAAGGTGTTGCCTGTGGCAGCTTGGAGCCTCAGGGTCCCTGCAATGGAGATCAACATCTGCCGCCAGCTGTGTCTGGCGCTTCCCTCTGCTCTGATGGGCTGCAAATTTCCAGCGTTCCCCGACCTCCCCACATGCACTCCCTACCTGGTAGCAACATGCCAGGGACCACAGGAGACCCCTCCTCCTGCACCAGCCCCTGCACCCCGACACGTGCCCGCTCTAGCAGCCCTGGATGCAGCTTTTCTCTGCCCTGAGTGCATTGGGAGGAGGGCTCTTGCAAGGGCACCTCTGCTTTCTGACCCCCCACCCCAGCGGGGCTAACACACAAGAGAACGCAGGCCTGCTTCCAGTTCCCACTTACAACCCCAGGCGGACGGAGCTAGCGCGGCCCCTCGCTCACACCAAGTGGACACCGGAGCAGTCCCTCCTGACCTGCTGTGCCCAGAGGGCAGGATCCGGCCCTGGAGCACTGGCAGTTCGTCCCCAGGCGACTCTCATGAAACATCTCTCTAAAACATCCACGTCAAAGCCAGGCAACCGAGGCACCTTCTGAGCGGCCCCCCTCCCTCCCCGACTCTGACCCAGCGGAGCAGCAGACTGACAGGCCCCGTGGGATTAGGGAGGCAGGTTTCTATCAACCTCGGTTGTGTTTTCACTTCCAGGAGACTCTCCTGGTGGCTCAGGCTGCAGTTATCTGGGGTTAGCATCTAAGTGAGGGACCAAATGGAAGGAGAAAGCAATTGCCACCTCCCTGCCCCTGCTCTGGGGCCCAACCCCTGCAGGGCTGGCAGCAATCCCACCGGCTCCCTTGGAAAGGAGCACACTGCAGCAGTGCAGTAGGATGAGCCCAGCCCTGGAGGGGGCAGGAACATGGCCAGTGGCTGGGTGAGAGGTGGCAGAAGCATGTCCTTGGTCCCAGTCAGAGAAAGCTTCAGGGCAGAGGACTTTGGGCTGGCAGGAGCAGCGCCCGATAGCCTGCAGGCGGGTCTGGCCGCGGCCACAGGAGGCAGGCGGCCAGAGCACAGCACCCAGAGGGAGGGGGAAGGAAACTGCAGGTTCACAGGCCTGGGGCCGCATCCGCTCTGTGCTGTAGCCCCGATGCGCTCCCAGCAGCTCGCTGCCTTGCCCTGACCCCTGCCGGAGAGCAGGGCTCACAGCAGCACGGCGCCTCTCCCTAGCACACCTTCTTCCCCACTTGCAAGCTGAAGCAGAGCTGGCTTTGGGCCGCCTCACGGGGACATCTCCGACCCACTTCTGGGCCCCACAATGGCTCCAGGGAGTCAGTCAAACCCCCTTCCCCACCCTGGGTGCCATGGGCGAGGTCTGGAGGATGGAAGCGGACAGGGAGGCACAGGGGACCTAAAGCCAGCTCCAAATCCTACCTGGACCCTGTTGGGGAACCAACATCACGTTCCCCGACCCTTCCCGTGCTGGCAGGCCGCACAGCGGAGCCGGCCACAGCATTGATTGAAGCCTGGGCAAGGGTGAGCCCGGGAGGAGCGGACTGTTCCCAGCAGCTGCCAGCTCGTCCCCGGCTCCAGGCAGGGGCAGGGGGTTGGGGCAGGTGCTCCGGGCGACTCTGGTTGGCTGGGCTTAGCGAAGGGTCCCGGGTCAGTCCCAGAGCCAGCCAGGCTGCAGCGCCTGCAGTTCCCTTATAACCGCTTGTCCTTCACCAGTCCGTTCTTCAGGTGCATCCTGGGGGTGAGACCGGGCAGATGTGAGGCCCTGCCCCTCAGACCACCCCGTGTTCCCCTGCTCCGGCAGGCCCAGCCCCCGTCTGACGTGCTGGTCACAGGCAGTGGGGTTGCTTGGGGCTATGATCAGGGCACTGCTCATAACTCCCAGCATCCAGCCAGGCTGGGAGACCAGTAGCACAGTACCACAGTGGCCGGTTCCTTTTCCCAGCCCCTGGCCTGCTGCGCTGGGGCTGCCCCCTGCCTCACTCACCCTTCTTTCAAGGCGCTGGGGAGCTGGAAGTTGCCCTCTTTCTTCCGGGGTGCCAGCGCCTTCCTGCCGTCGTCCATGTCGTACTCCCGCATGTCGTTCACCTCCCGCATCTGCCCTGTCAGCACCCTGACCACGAACAGGACGATGTACTGGGGAGACAGAGGCCAGGAGTAACCGCCTGCGCTCCGGCTCTGCCTGCCCACGGGAATCCATTGAACTTATGGGGCCCTGCTTCTCTCTCCTGCCAGGCTCCCCACCACCCCGGGGCCATGCTGCCTCCTCAGGAGCGTGCCCAGCCTGACACACGTGCCTTCGAGGTGCACAGGAGGCTGCCTGGGCCCCCCCCAGAGCGTGGCGGACGGGATGGACCCTGGGAGCTGGGTCCAGAGGGCACCGGGCTAGGAGAGCTGCAGCCGCACTGGGGAACCGAGACCCTTGGGCTGTTGTCTAGCCGTAGCTCCAGCCCTAGCAGAGCCCCTCACCCTCAGTCAGCCCCAGCCTTGAAGTGTGGGACCCTCCCCCAGAATGAAATAGGCCAACAAGCAGGCAACAAGCCCCAGCTCTCCTCCTCCTGCTTGCGGGGGTCTTGTGGATATGGCTGCTCACACCCTGCCTGGCAGGACGCACTTCCCCGCGTCCCCAGGGTCGCCTGCCCCAGGGAGGCCACAGACTCATGTCCCAATCAACATTCAGCTGGCCCCAGCCAGGCCTGGCTCCCCAGGATACGGCTTCAGGATTGCTGTGTTATCGTCCACCCTTCCCCTCAGATACCACCCATGGGGAGCGAGCCCGAGTCCCAGCAGGGAGCCGGCTCTGCTGTGCAGATGCTGTTGCTTTGTGCTTCCTCCTCCCACACCTCCCACTGCTCAGCCTCGCTGTTTATCAGGGCAGACCTGGGGCAGCAGCAGGAGGGGCCAGGTCAGGCTCCCGGCAGACAGTGCTGAACTCACCAGAAACCAGTAGATGTTCATCAGGGTGAGGGCGAAGAGCAGGGCGTTGAAGAAGAAGTAGAAGGGGATGTGGGGGATGGACTGGAGGCTGCAGTGGCAGGTGGCATACAGCACTTTGAGGGGGAACCAGTACAGGCGGAACCAGAACCTGCCGGGACAGAAGGGAGCCGAGGGGGGGGATGTGAGGTGGAGGGGAGCCCCAGGGGCAGCAGCTGGAATCAGCACAGCTTCCCCCTGCCCCTTTCGGGTGGTCCCAGGCAAGCCTACCTCATCCCCTCCCCTGCGGCTGTGCTCCTGGCACTGGGCTGTGCATGGAGAGCCTGATTCAAGCCCACACCAAGTCCCAGCAGAGTCCCTGCTAAAAGGATGTCGCCCCTTGCTCCAAGCAGAGGGTGTGGGGGACAGAGACAGGAGCAGCCAGGACGGAGGGGGAGGTCTGCAGTGTGAGCCTGGCTGCTGCAACAAGCTCGTAAGGTAGCGTGGCCATCTCCCAGCCCTGAGCCTTGACGAAAAGGTCTCCTACCCCAGCCTCGTTCTCAGAGATTGGGATGGAGGGGACCAGGAGGCAGGTGAGGAGGACCTGGACTGCAGCCCATCACCCTGGGGCAGGCCCTTGCTCTCCAGCACAGGGGCCCCTGTTCTTGCACCCCATTCCCACCGCTCTGCCCTGGCCAGGACGGATCATGGCACAGACATTCAGAGCAGGATATGACCCTGTCTCCCTTCCTCTGTGCCCAGATCCTTTGAGTTGTCAAGGCCAGGTTCTGGGGGCTAGAAGCCAGCCCTTTCTCCCTCCAACTGCGTGTGACACTGCATTTCCACAGCAGCAGACTGTGACGTGGCAAAGGCAGGATCCTAAACCCAAGCCCAGCGCGTGGGCAGGCAACAGGAGGGGGCTCATGGTGAGCATCTACCCCGGGGAAGACCCCCTGGGCAGGGGCCACTAACCAGCTGACACTGAAGGTGAGGCAGCCAATGTCAGAGATGATGTCGTTGAGCCGGTGATAGACCCCACCCCGGTGCTTGAAGTAGACGTTGAGCTTGGTGAACTCCAGCTGCACATCGTTGATGTCGTGCAGGAAGAGGACAAGGATGCCCACGTTGTGGTACCTACAGAGGGAGGGGATCTGTGAACTGGTCGTCTGGGGCTGGGGAGGGAACAGAGGCAGGACCAGGCTGATTGTGGTGATGCTGGAGGGAGGTGGGGGATCCCCGTGCTAGCATGGGGAAGGCTCAGCCCTGCACAGGGGAGCATCGGCACAGCCCAAAGGGCCCTTTGGTCGGTTCCCTTGATGGAGCCCATAGCAGGACACAGGACTGCTGCTGGCCTGTGGACCCAGCACCGGGACCCTGGAGACTGGGACTGTAAATGTTCATGCCCCATCAAGGCAGCTGGTCACCGCCTGGTGGGACTCACCTGAAGGCATAGGAGAAGGTGATAAGGGTCAGTGTCACCACGTGGTGGAGGAGCATGACCACCGAGTCCTTGCGCCAGGCGTCCATGTAGATGGTGGCATAGATGGAGTGCCCGTAGAAGCTGCCCTGCAGCAGGTAGGCGATGGCGATGTCTGTGGGCACGTCCATACCACTCTTCCAGTCTAGGAGCAGCACAAAGACCATGGATAAGCCCCTGGCCACCCACAGCAACACCTTCTGCTAGACAGTGGGAGCCCTGCTGCGGCCACCACTGTCCCCAAGCCACAGGCAGCAGTCCCAGCCAGGATCAGACCTGCAGGGCTAGCTCACAGGCGCACAAGACCCGTGCCTGAGCTCACACCAAGTCCAGACACAACCATGTGCGTAACCGTGCACAGGCCAGAACAGAAGGTTCCCGTCTCGTCACTACAAACCCCACTCCTGAGCTGGGGATACGACCCTGGCTTCCAGACCCCACCTGCTCTAACTGCTAGGCCCTGCTCCCCCAGTACTAGACTCAGGACTGCCTGTCCTAGCCACCAGGGAACACCGTCTCAGCCAGGAGATGCCCTGTTGCACACTCTTGTGCCTTGGACATCACAAGGATGGCAGGGGAGGGACATCCCCCTCAACTGCGCCCCTCGGGCACCCTGCTCTGCTCTGGCCTTTGTGCCAGTGGTGCTCACTGTACCGTAGAAGACGGAGGGTGGGTCGTAGAAGAAGGGGTAGTTGGTAAAGAAGAGCAGGTAGGTGCCGTAGGACCAGGACAGCGTGTAGAAGAGCAGCTTCCAGGCGCTCTCTGGCATCTTGGCAGCATCCTTCGGCCGCAGGTTACACCATTTCCCGAATGGCTGTGTGGAGAGGGCAGAGGTGAGGCACAGCGGGGGGGTCCTTGTCACCCCACCTTTCGTTGCGTGGGAGGAGCTGGCCATGGGGCAGGCAGAGCAGCTCCCCACCCAGTCCTAGCCCCAACCAGGCTACTCAAGCACCTGGGCTAACAGCCCCGATACCAGTCGAGTGCTAGCAGCCAGTGGCCACAAACCAGCTTGAAAAGGGTGAGGGAGGAAGGGGGTCCTGGCTTCTGATCACCTTGGCCTCAGCTGCTGTCAATTGGGAAGGGCTGAGCCCAGGGGAGAAAGTGAGAGCAGGTGAGGCCAGCACTCCCTGCACCCTGGGGTGAGCTGGCGTCACTCCAGTCCCCCCTCCCCTCCCAGGCTTGTTCTCTCAGGGGTGGAGGCAATTACAAGCAAGGAAAAGCATAGTGCTGCCTGTGCTGGGAGAGGCAAGCTGGACTGTGGTCCAGGCACCTTGCAGACAGGCCTCTGCACTGCACCCTGCTCCAGAAAGGAGCCTTTTCCATCCAACAAGCCCTCAGGCCTTGCAAAGTCCTGAGCCATGGATAACAAGGCTGGCATTTCACAGGGGCCCGGGGCACAGAAGGGCCTGGAGCACTGACTGATGCAGCCAGCGACTGCAGCAAGAGGTCTCGGTCCCTTGGTCTGGCACGAGCCAACTGCGTGGGATGGGGACCGTGGCCAGACGGGGATCCCGGGATAGCGCTCGGAGTCAGGCCTGCGGGGAGCAGCAAGAGCAGGGTGTCCCGGGGATTCACTCACGGGAGCCTGGCTCAAGGTCCCGGCTCCGGAGGGCCTCAGCGTGGCCCGACATCAGACCAGGCACTGGGAGCACCACAGAGAAGCACCAGATAAGCTCAAGATGAAAACAAAATGCCTGCAAAGTAACCAGACCCCCTCCCAGCTCAGCAGTTTGCACCCAGCCGGTTGGCTCCCATTGACGCCTTGATGCTCCAAGGCTATATTAAGACCCCAGCTGTTCAGGGTTGCAAGCAGGGTGCTCGTTCCCCTCCAAGGGCTGCCCTCTCCCCCCAGATCTCCTATCATCCGAGCAGGGTGGGGCCAGAAGCACCAGCTCTACAAAACACCCCCCTCAGAAGCTGCCAAATGCACGGAGGTGGCGAAGATCCAGGTTCAGCCCGTGCCTTCCCCTGGGGAGGAGAGGCCGCCTCCACCCGCAGCCCCAGCCCTGCCTTTGCAGCGCAGCCGCCCTCATGCAAAGCACGAACCAGGCAGCGTGGCTGCGGCTCGCTCCAGCGGGAGACGCAGTCGGCAGCAGCAAGGGAGGATAAATAATGCACGGGCAGAGTCCCAGGCTGGAGGCATGAATTATTTGTGACTCCATAAAACAGAACACGGAAAGGAGCTCGAATCAGCCCCATTAGGAGGCAGCTCGGCAGGTTGCAGAGCCAGAGTAGAGACCTCGGGGCAGAGCTGAGAGGCACCTGGACGGGCCTTTTCTCAGCCCCACGTCCACACTGGTCCTTCCTTGTGCTGCTGCGTAGTTTGGGGAGCCTGTTTCAAGAGGCCCAGCCCCAAGGCCTGGCTCCGTTCTGCTGTCTGACCATTAAGACTCTCAGGTCCCCGCTGTAAAATGGGGACAATAGCTCGGGGTGGGGGGAGGGTGAAGACAAATAGATTGACACCTGCTGGATACTAGAGCCAGGCGCTACGCAGACTGACCGACTTCACGGGCACCTGTAAACCCAGGACCGGCACCCCACAGGGACTGCAGCGATGCCCCCAGGGAACCGTCTCCTTCAGCTGTGGAAGAAGCCCACCCTCCTGAGCACCGTCAAGCTGTGGGAGAGGCCGTGCTTCCTCCTTTACCCATTGCAGATGCTCAGTAAAGGCTCTCAAGCTTTTTAGATACAAGGACGAGGGGCATCCCCGGAAAACACCAGCCTTTCTGACTACGAAAAAATAACAGAGCAGTTTTTCTTTTGCAAAGACCTCCGAAAGCTTGCAACGGGTTGGCGTGGTTTCAACATGACGGATTCCTATTTGAAATCTCTGGGTGTATCTTGTGAATCACGGCCACGGCAGCCTGGCTGAGAATCACTGCGCGAGCTCCTTCTCCGTGGCTGAAAACCGAGCAACCCAGACCACCTCTTTCGCCTCCCAGAGCCCCAGGCACCCCTGGGCGCTTGCGGAGCCCCCGGCAAAACCACAGCCGCGGCCGGCACCGGGGCGAGACGCGGAGCAGATGGAGAGGGCAGGGAGAGCGCGTCCGTCCGTGGGGAGGCCGGGGCAGGGACCACGCAGACGCCGGCTGGGATCTGGGCTGCCTGCGTGGGTGGGGATCAGCAGGCCACGTGGCCTGGGAATGACGGAGCAGGACCTGGCACCAGCACCCCCAGGGGAGGTTCCCGTGCCAGGCGGGCGCCTCTTCTTCCTCCTCTTCGTTCTGGGGCAGGGAGGGGGGCATAGTCTCCGCCCCTGGGCAACTGCGGTTCCCATGGCAACGGCAGAGAGATGCCTGTGTTGCTAGGGGTAACGGGTGCTGCAGCAGGAACAATGCATTGCTGGCTGGCCTGGGAGAGCCCCCGGGCTCTGGCGAGTGATGTCATGTGGTCATATGGCTGGACTTAAAGGGCCCGTGCTGTGCGTCTTGGGCCCTTCTCTCACCAGCCCCCAAACTGGAACAGGCCCTATAGACGTGCCCCGGTTTTCAAGGGAACTGAGAGCAGGCGTTCCCTCCCATCGCTGCTTCTAGGGACGCCATTGCGCGTCCTGCACCAAGCGTGTCATCTGACGGCACGCCAAGCCTGCGCCCAGGAACTAGAAAGGGAAACTCAATAAAAACCCCGCGAGGCCTCAGCAACGTGGAGGGTGAAAAGGAAGCTCGGCTCTCTCCCGTCAAATATCCTCCAGCGCGGGCGAGAAGGAACGTGGCCCCCTCCCTTTCCATCTACCACGAGGGGAAGCAGCAGAACACAATCGCTCTTCCAGGCCTCTGCAGGATGGAGCATGAATCGAGGCTTGTCTGACAGGGGGATTGTACCCCCGAGCCCAGCGGTGTAACACCAGCCAAGTCCCAGCCGTGCCACATCTCACGCCCAGGCACGGAGAGATCTCCAGAGGAATGAAAGGGAAGGGCTGGCACACGGCGTCCCTGGCCCTGGGAACTGGCAGCGCTCAATCAACCTTACTTTCCCAAGGGCAGACCCTGAGGACGAGCAGCCAGGGCAACAGGCTCTCGTTCCAAAGCCGGGGCATGGTCCTCCCCACCCCAAAGCTGCACCACGAGGCAGGTGCTGCTGGTCCCTTAGCACCCAGACCTGGGCCCTATCACTGCCCCTTGATCCCAAGCCAGGTGTGGGCCCTGCTCATGCCCACATACATCTCCTATACTTATCTGTTGCAGCATTCACAGAGGCACAGAGGAAAAATGAAGCAAGATTGCACCTTGCTTTAAACCTAAGGATCTCACTCCTTGGAGTTTGACCCCAAAGGGCCATTACTGTGGCTTCCTCTCTAAGAGGGATGGGTCATGGCACAGGCCCAGAGACACCCAACTTTCTAAGCCCCTGCCTGCCACCAAGCTCGGGGGGGGAAGCAAGTCCCTGAGCCTCCTCTCTGGGCCCTTGTTTCACCACCTGAAAGATGAGGCTCATGAACTGTGCAGCTGCACTGAGGTTTGGAAAATGCTTTGCCAGTGACCAGCGATAAAAGGATTATTTGCTGTGAATCATTAAGAGCTGTTTCCTCCTCAGGGCCTCGGTTAGCAGTAATATCTGCCCCATAGGAGATGAGCAGCAGGACAAGGAGTCTCCGGAGACAATGAGCACATGCCTATGGGGTCCTGTGGGGGCTGATTAAGCTCCTGAGCAGCCCAGTGCTTCTCATGGCTGACCGCTGACATAATAGCACAGGGAAGCCAGCCCCCACCCCGAGACCAACAAGAAGGCCTTCATTCCCAGGAGAAGAAAGAGCCCATTGTTGTGTCTCTTTCCC